TCGCAGTGTGTCACAGTGAATTGTGTCCCTGTGTCGCGGTGTGTCACAGTGAATTGTGTCCCTGTGTCGCAGTGTGTCACAGTGAATTGTGTCCCCTCAGCCCTCCTCCTTGCCCAGCAGTATGAAGTGACAGAGGATCTCTACCCCAACCAGCCTCAGTACCCTGTGGGTGAGTCTGCAGCCTGTCTGCCAATATACCCGCCTGCTGCAGATCTGCTCATCTGCTTGCTAATCTAATTCCTCTGATCATTTTTCTTCTCGCTCCCCAGAGGATTACGATGTGGACTACCAAGGTAAGTGTCTCAGGAGAGCTGGTTCTATCACTCTGTCTGTCCCTCGGTCGATGGGTTCCTGATCCTGCTCCTCTGTCGTTCTCTAGAAGCTTTCCAGCAGCAGGTTCTGTTGGGTCCAGACAGTCAGCAGCTGTTGCCAGTGACCACCGGTAAGATCTCCCTTCAGTGGTCTCTCTCCCTGTGCCTTTACCTCTCCTTTACCAGTCTGACTGTCCGTCTGCCCACAACTCTGTCCTGCCTGTCCGTGTGTGTCTCCTACTGTCCTGGTTGCCTGTCTGTCCGTGTGTTCCTCTGTGTGTCCATCTGTCCAGAATACTGTCCTGACTGTCCGTCTGTATTCCAGGAGAGCTGTCGGAAACGGAGCCCACAGAGCCTGGACCGCTTGGTGAGAGGGAGTGAAAGAGTGAGACAGTGTGCTTGGAACTAACCATAAACACATGAGTCTGGGAGTGCTGTATCACTCTTGTGCTGCATCTGGGAGGGCTGTCCCTCTCAGTGCTGGGTCCAGGAGTGCTATACCACTCCCAATGCTGGATCTGGGAGTGCTGTATCACTCTCAGTACTGTATTGTGTGCTGTGTTATTGAAGTGCTGGATTGCTATGTTGTGTTGGTATATTGTGTGTTGTGTTCCAGTGGTGCTGTACTGCATGTTGTTTTGCTGTGGTGCTGTATTGTGTTTTGTGTTGCTGTGGTGCTGTATTGCTTGTTGTGTTGCAGTGGTGCTGTACTGCGTGCTGTGGTATTGTGTTCCAGTGGTGCTGTACTGTGTGCTGTGGTGTTGTGTTGCAGTGGTGCTGTGCTGCGTGCTGTGGTGCAGTGGTGCTGTACTGCGTGCTGTGGTGCTGTACTGCGTGTTGTGGTGCTGTGGTGCTGTACTGCGTGTTTTGGTGCAGTGGTGCTGTACTGCGTGCTGTGGTGTTGTGTTGAAGTGGTGCTGTGCTGGGTGTTGTGGTGCAGTGGTGCTGTACTGCGTGCTGTGGTGCTGTACTGTGTGTTGTGTTGCAGTGGTGTTGTGTCTGTGCCCCCAGATTGCCGTGAGGAGCAGTACCCCTGCACCAGGCTGTACTCGGTACACAAGCCCTGCAGACAGTGCCTGAAGAGCCTCTGCTTCTACAGGTATGCCTTCCTTACTGTTCTCTCCCGCGGTCTGCCCTGCCGATAGCCGCCACCGCTGAGCTCAGGTCATGTTTGTGTCTGCAGCCTGCGGCGAGTGTACGTGGTGAACAAGGAGGTGTGTGTCCGCACCGTGTGCGCCCATGACGAGCTGCTTCGAGGTGAGC